TTGATTGTACACACCAGTGAAAGAGTTACGTCTTTGAGGATCCTGGATTTTAACCGAGCAATTATGGAGTTGTGAATTGTAAACTTAATAAATGAGATTTTTGTGAAATACATTATGAGAATTATGTGATTGTAAATGAAAATTTTGTTTTGAAAATTTACGTCGTTACAAGTTGGTATCAGAGCCTTGGTTTGAGGGATTCAGATGCACCTTGGGTAAATCTGGACTCAAACTGAGGATTTGAGAAAAATTTTCTAAGGAAATGATTTTCTAAAACGAACAAGAGTTTCTAAGAGAAAAACGAGAAAGAGCAGTGTGTACAATCAGCCAGAGCCCGAATGGTGATTTCCCAAAATACCCTTACTTTTGTATTATGAGATATTTTGTGATATTCTGCATGCTAGAGGATAGGCTAGGTATTCCATATTTTAGGACTAGAGTGGCCTGATTTGTGATGCCTTAGACTAGGAGTTGCTGCTATCTGTGATTTACCTTTGAGTATGTGCGGAGTATGAGTATCCAGCAGGAATCCTTTAGAGATAGAGCTTTGAGTATAGGAGTAATCTAGGAAGAGATACCTAGATGAGCGTTGGAGGACTACGGAAAGAGTAGTTAGATACCCGCGTGAGGTAGAGTTGCTTGAGTTCGGTGATACCTTCTGAGTGTGAGTAGAGCAAGTGAATATGACGATATTCAGAAGGTAGATGGCTGGCGTCATAAGGAGTTCTTCAGCAGCTGATGGTGGAGAAGTGTGAGAATCTAGGAAGAGCCTAGGGGAGGGTGACCCTAGTCAGATGAGTACGCTGACAGAGTAGAGCATTTCGCAGAGGAGCGAACACGCGTGACGGGATTGGTGATCGAGAAGGTTGATCAGCTACTTAGGAACTCAGGGTTGGTCCGTGTAGAAAGTATGGGTAGATGTGGTAGGTAGTATGGGCCCGTACTACTGAAAACAGAGGACCCATACTCGATACAGGGAGCATTCCAGAGGTTTTAAGTAGCAGATCGAGAGGTGATGTCATGGTTCGAGTACCATGATTTGAGGCGAATTGAGAAGAGAGAACATGGTTCGAGTACCATGATTCGTAGCGGATTGAGAAAAGAGAACATGGTTCGAGTACCATGCTTCGTGCTTACCGTGTTATGTGTTATGTGTTTCAGGTTGTTCTCAGGATCGCGGGAAGGCACCGGCTTGATTGTACACACCAGTGAAAGAGTTACGTCTTTGAGGATCCTGGATTTTAACCGAGCAATTATGGAATTGTGAATTGTAAACTTAATAAATGAGATTTTTGTGAAATACATTATGAGAATTATATGATTGAAAATGAAAATTTTGTTTTTAAAATTTACGTCATTACAAGATAATTGGTATCTTTTAATATCCCATTAAATATGGGATGTCAAAGTCAAAATCTGTAGAAAAAAACCTACAAGTTCCGTCTTCCTCCTTCTTCTTCCCTACGGCTACAATGTCATATTACTCCACCACCGCCGCCACCCTCCTTCTTCTCTATGGCTGCCACACCATCTTCTTTTTTCCCCAGAACAATAAGCCCTCCAATTTCTTCTATTACTTCATTCTGCAAACCATTTGTAACCCCCACACAAACCATCTTCCCCCTGATTTGATTCTCCTTCTTCATCAGGAACGAATAGAAATAGAAACACAAATTCTCTTTATTTCATATTCGATTAAAGAAAGGCTTTTGTGTTTAACGATTATCACACCCTTCTTCCTTCTTCATCAGGAACCTCTAATTTGGTGAGTAATTGTTAATCTTTCTTCTACTTGATTTCTAACCCGAAACACAACTTTAGGGATGAAGGAAAAAAGAAACCAGACTATGGGGATAATTTCTAACCCTATAGTCTGGTTGGAACTTTTTTTTTGTTTATGCTTTTAGTTTTCTCTCTAACAAGAAATTTGAAGGCTTTTATTCCAACAAGATATTCGAAAAATTAAAAGTATAATTTTTATGTACAGAGCAGTTGTCTTGATTGGATAATTACCACAAAATTTTGATTATGGGTGTATCTGACAACAATTCTGCATGAATGGAAGATCAAGTTCAAATTCTGTCAGAATGGAATCTCGATTTTATGGCATAAAATCTCAAATTACTTGTTACTATTTGAAGGTATACACTCTTTTATTGGAAATTTAGTCACATTCATGTATTTATTAATTACATATGTTGTATGTTTCATCAAATAGAGTATAAAGATCTGAGCATCCGATTTTTCCCGCCAATTTTTTTGATAAAATGCTTGAATCAAATATTTCAGCCAATTTTTTTTTTGTAATCTTTGAACTATCATATCTCTCTCATACTAGCTTGAAATGATTTGAAATTTTTTTTCTGCATGTTCTCCTTTGTGTTAGCTACAAGTTTGGTTCTGAAGTCATTTTAATTGGATTAAGATTGGCTGAGTTATAGTCCTTCGAACATTGGATGTTACATCTATATTTTTAGCACTTTTACTTTGTTTAGAAAATTTTTGTGATGTGAAAAAAGAAGAAAACATGGAGAACGAGAGTATTTTAGCAGAATGTATAAAGTGTTTCTTAAAAATAATATTCTTTCAGAATGGATTAGTGTTTTTGTTAGATTTTGATCTTAGTTTTAATCTTTAAGAATAAATGTAATTCTTAAACCATTATTAATCATTTTTTTTTTTCAGAATGAATGTAATAATTGTTTAGTCTTATTCTTTACAAATTAATGTAATTAATGATTCTTAAAAAAATAAAATCCATATTTTTTAGAAAATGTTATTCTTGATAATATGTTGTATACTTCTTTAAGCATGTTAATTATAAAAAATATATTGAATGATACATATTCTGCAAGAATAAAATCGAAAATATATTTACTAGTTTATGTTTGACTCTTTGTCATTCTGACAGAATAAAATCGGTTAGTATTAGAAATTATAATATAATTAAATTTGAATTAATTTAAAAAATTCAGATTTAAAAAAGGAAATTAATTATCCCTTAAAATCCGGAAATTTTCTTTTTTAATGTAGGTTAATTGACCAAAACACCCTTCTACTGAAATTTGTATGATTATATGGTACATATTACCCTATTCTAATATCGTAGACCCTCAGATCATGATCATTGATTTTATTCATCTATTGGTCTAGAATTGTGTTTACGGGTACACAAATAGATGTAAGAAACAAAATAACCTAGCCCTATATATATATATATATATATATATATATAGAGAGAGAGAGAGAGAGAGAGAGAGAGAGAGAGAGAGAGAGGGGGGGAGATATATATATATATATATATATATATATATATATATATATATATCTATATATATCTATATATAGGTTCATGTATTCTAACTAAGTATTGTGTGGATGTATGAATGATTGTGCACCAATTAATTTTTAAGAAATATTAAATAATTAATAAACTATTTAAAGGGTATAATAGTAATCTTGAACCTATTTAATTTTAGTAAATATTAAAAACATTTAATATCCCTTTTAATTAGGGAATTTAGTTTAAAACCCTAAGACACATCTTGCATCTACACAATATCCGCCTCATCCCTCTAATCCAGTGATCAAACGATCGACCTTGCCACCACTCCCCCACCAGCAGCAGGTCACCGTCTCATCCATTTCAATCGGCGCCCTACACTTCGCATCTAAGCCCCAAATTTATTGGCCGACAACAAAACGTCAATTACCGTTGTCATCGACGGTCCTCCACCACTTGTCGCCAACACTCCACGGCTGCTACTTTTTCTTTCACAACCAATTTTGCCTCCAACCCTGCACAATTGCTGCTTCTTCCATTACATGGGAGCGTAAATGGTGGTGATTTCAGGAGCATAAACTTCTTTACCCAAATGCTCAAAGTAGATAATCTCTAATTCTTATCATATCCAAATTATTGTTAATGGGAGGAAGAGTTATTCTTTGAGGGATTGCTTATCTAACATTTGTGTTAGTAGTTAGATGAAAATAAGTGCTAGTTAAGGTTGCCTTTGTTTTTAACCCGTTTACCACGTAGCAGCACGACTTTTGTAATATTTTTGTTGTAAATTGTTGCGTCAGTTATAGATTTTTGTTTTACTTCTGTAAGAATCAAGTCAAAGGGTAAATAGAATGAAGATTCAGTTCTTGGTGAGTCACCTTGTGGTTTGATTTTGGCTTCAATTATTGGGAGTTGGGACTTAAGATTCAGGTACCACTGTCTGAAATTGATTTAAATTGGTTTAACACAATTTCTAACTAGAACTTAAGGTCACAATGCTTGTGGCTCGTGTATAGTTATATTAGAAACTCATGATTTTATAGTTCTTTCTGCATTGTGGTCTCCCTATTGTGTTAAATACTTTTTGAAGTATTTCAACATAAAAACAAGTCTTTGCAATGACTTTTATACAAGATGGCTCCTTCATAAAGCCTTGTCCCCTTACAGGAGTAGTTTGTTCACTAGAGCTATGCACTTTTCCCCATGGGTTTCATTTATTTCTTGATTAAAGATATACACGGATACTTAACCGACTCCAATGAGGAATATGTACTTGCAGGGACTCGGGCCTTATTCCAATAGCATCAAGAAAGCAGAGAAGGATGTGAAAGAAATGTCCAAAAGGATCAATGATCTATGTGGTATGTTTATTATAGGTCATTTCTGATACAACTGAGCTTTATATCAAATTTAGACTGAGATGATGTCGATGTACCCTTTTATGAATGCAAAGAGTATTAATCAAGGAAATGACATAAATGCCCTTGCATTTCATTCATTTATTTAGCTGTAAATACCAACGACTTGTTTGCATTTTTACAAACACCTGGTGTACATTGAGTTTGTGGTATTGTCCTAATACAAAATACCTAAAAAGATAATCCTTTTTCAATTGCTAATTTTATAAGAATCATTCGTCTTTGGATAAAACTAATCAACAGTTTCCTCCAAGGCTTCAATTTTTTTTATCAAGATGTAGATTATGAGTTGTTATTAAGCCCCATCATAATCTTTTAACAAAGAAAAAACAGTTGAAACTACCCCAAAACAGAAATCATGATATTGCAGAGAACAAAGAAGGTTGAAGGTGGTTATAAACTCTACTTCTGAATCTCTCTTATCTACTTGGCATTGGATTTCTACTTGTACCCAAATCCAACCTGAAACTGTATTATATCCTTTCTATGTGTTAGTTGATGTGAGTTGGCACTGCATGAAACGAATAACAGTTTGTTAATATTCTAGATATTTTTTTGTTAATATTCTAGATATTTTTTTGTTTCAGACTGTGATAAAGCAATTCAGTGTTTGGATTAGTGTGGGAAGCTGAGACCGAAAATTACATATTCTGCAAGGGTGCATTTCTGCATTTCTGTCAGCAATTCTGCCGGAATGGAATCTCGAATTCCAAATCCGTCAAGAACTATTCGTCGTTATATTGTGATAGAATAATTTACAATAGAATGATAGGAGTATATGTAAAAATATATTCCGCTAGAATATTCAGGTGGAATAATAATATACATGTTTTTGTTTGTTATTAGTGAGTATTTCATTGTCATAAAATATTATATAAAGTTTTTATTTTTTAAGAAGGTAATGAAATATTTAAGTTGTGTCCAAAAATTTGTTATTAGTCAGTATTGACATTCTCATAGAATGTTATGCATAACAGAAATATGTATCCTGACATTCCTAGAGAATATGATTATAACAAAATGTCATTCCGACAGAATAAAATCGGGTTTAATTAAAAATTAAAAATTATGTTATGGTTAAAATTGAATTAATTAAAAAAATCAGAATTTTAAAATCAAGAAAAATAATTATCCCTAAAAATATGGAATTTTCCTTTTTTAAATTGATCTTAATTGTCTAAAATACCCTTATAATCAAAAAATACCATGTAGTTTCACTATAAGGGTATTTTAGACAATTGAGATCATATTAAAAAAGGAAAATTCCATAAGTTTTATAAGGATATATATATATATATATGTAATTTAAAGTTTTACAGTGATATTAGCATAATTATGAAAGTTTACGATGATATAAACAAATTTTCTCTTAAATAAAAAACTCCAACGGGGAGCTGGAAAAACAAACAAGAGATTATAAAAGAAAACAGAAAGCAAACAAAGCCTATGCAAGACAGCAAGAAACCAAACTAAGCAAAAGAACAGATAAATTCACAGCAGAATCACACAAGAAGCAATGGCAAAACCATCCACCGCAACCAAAAAACTCACCAACAGCTAGAAGAAAGCAAGAGCAAACCATGAGATGCATCCCATGAACTAAGAAGTAGTGTCTGTGAAGATTAACAATAACCACCCTCAACAACACACAAGGGCAAAACCGTCCATCAGGTCAAAAAAGATCACCTCCCTATGCTCCCTATGCCTCGTTGCCTCTGAAGATCTTCCTTTCTGTTATTCTGTAAAATTGTTCACATTAAAGAATCATAAAAAAGCAGTTTTAACATATAAAATAAAACCAAGCAAAACTAAAATATCAAACCAGCAAACAAAAATTAAAAAATAATTCATCTCCATTAAAAACGTCAAAACTAACATTCTAATTTTCCTTCGAATCCTCTCAACCTAACAATGACATTTTCCAAGTTCTGGGTGATTTTAAAGTCTGTGTGGAATGCAAAACCTAATTCTTGCTTCGGCCACTTCTTGGGATGCAGGTATGCAACCACAAACTCTTCTTGGCCAACAATTGCTTTCAACTTTATCACCTTCTTTATTTTTTCGTCTGTTTTTTGAAGAAGAGCCTCAGTAAAAGCAACAAATTCGCCTTCGCCAACCTTAAAATCAAATGGTTGAAGGCCTTTAACCTCAATTTCTGAAAACATAAACAAAAAAAGCATTGCGACGGGAACACACACACACAAAAAAAAAACGATGAAAATCATTAAGGTAAATGAAAGTTAAGATTTGTGTTATCAAAGGCAAAAAAGCCGAAATTTCCATGAAAAAAAAAAGCCTGACGACATAAATGAAAAGGATATCGAAAAAAAAACACTAACCGCATCAAGGAAAAGGAAGACAGAAATAGGATGTAGAGAAGATTTGTTACCAAAAAACCTGCGACTTGGAGGCTCCATTACTGGGAGCAAGAGAGCGGCCGAGAGAACTTGAGAGAAAGCGAGCAGAGCAAGAGCGGAGAGAGAATCGAGAAATTCTAAAATCTTTTATTCTGATCTAAACCTAAACCTAAGCCCTGCCCAATTTTTCTATAAAAATACAATTTATTTCTCATCAAATTTAAAGTTTCAAGCATGGTCGTCAAAATTGCGATTCTGTGGGCACAGTATGAAAGATCTTTTAGATGTACATATCCCTCCGGGAGGGCGATTGGGACGTGGGCATAAGGGCCTTTATGACACAATTAATAATTCGCTTCATTTTCAATTAGGCCTTGCTCTAGCTTCTTTAGGGGTTATTACTTCTTTGGTAGCTCAACACATGTACTCTTTACCCGCTTATGCATTTATAGCACAAGACTTTACGCGAAGGACTGTCTTTAACATAATACATTATTTCTTGTTACGGAGCCCGTAAAGGGGTTGTGGATACCGCTATCCGAACATCAGATGCATGATATCTCACGCGTAGACTTGTTGAAGTAGTTCAACACATTGTTGTACGTCGAACAGAACCAAAGGGAATGATGACCTTGGGTTGTACCAAGTCTGAAACCAATTGGATTTATTTTTTGTCGATCCTAAGTATGAAAAATGATCCGGATCGTAAACGGATCGTATTTGGGGTAGGATCGCAGGTAGAATCGTAAGATCGTAGGATCGGGATCCGATCCGATCCTACCTTTCCTTGATTTTTTTTTTTTTTGCAAATGAAATCATTTTACCATTTTATGTCTTTTACCTCTTTACCAAGTTACCGTTTATCATTTTATGTTGTGACTTATGACTAATATTTTGAAGTTTTTATAACTTTTTAACAAAAAATTTAATGTTTAAAATATTTTTCATGTATTAAAATTATAAATTAAAATTATGTTTCATTTTGTAGGATCTTAGGATCCCGATCCCGATCTTGCAAACCCAAAAACGATCCTATGTAGGATCCCGATCTTAACAACTTTGGTTTCAAGAACCTGTCAAGTTTTTTTTAAAGAAAATAAAATGAAAAGAAAAGTAAAGAAAATGTTAGAGTTGGTCGCCCAATGGGGAGAGGAGGAGTCAGCTCTATCCGACCCATTATTTTTCAAATAATAATTAAAAGTTATTTTAAAGTATTTTTTCTTTAACAATATCTTTTTATCTTTTCTATATTTTCTATTTTTAAGAACGCAATCAAAATGCAATTTTTAAAGTTGTACATTCTCATCTTCCTTTTAAATAAATTTAGGCTTAAAATTAAGAGTAATCAGAAAAAGTATATATGTAGACTAATATGGTATGTTATATTCAACATATTAAAAGCTAAATATTATAAATTTCGCAAAAAGGCAGTCAACTTACTCAACAATTAGCTTTGCATGTATTATAACAACCTACATGTGATTCTTTAATTTTTTAATTTTTCTTTGTTTAACTATTATTCATCCTAACTTCAATGGATCATTTAGGTATTATAGCAATGTACTTTTCTTTATTTTACTGTCAATGTCAAATATAAATTCGATATGGTGACCATTTCTATCAAAGAGTTTATCACCAACGCGACCATTTGTGTAAAAACAAACTACGATGGTGACCATTTGATGGTATGAGATTTATGACAGAAAGCTTAAGTTTTTTTTTTCACCATAAACTATCATACGTTCATGTCAAATACTTTTATAACAGAGAATTATAATGCTAAATCTGCTATAGGGACCATTTCTATCAAATAGTATTATTTTTTCTCATAAAGTTGAAGTTTTTCATTTTTTACGAATCTATACACTGTTTTTATCATTTATAAATGAAAAAAGAATCTATACTTTCATTTTCTAATCATTTGCTTTTGTTTTTTCATAATTTATAAAGAAAATTGCATAATTGTCCTTTTTTCTCATAAACAAATAATCACAAGTTTTTTGCATTTCTTTGTCAAAAGAGCTACCATACAACAGAAGTATGGTATCTATATTATTTTTTTGTATCATTTGTTGTTATTTTTTCATAACTTTTACACAAAAGGACATATTTATCTTTTTTTTTCCTTAGAGAACTAATGCCAATTTATGTTGAAACAATTTTTTAAAACTCTTTTCACATACTTTTTAGATGAAAAACTTAGATTTTTTGTTAAAATTGTATTGAATGTAATCAAAATTACAGCAAAATAGAAAAATGACTTACATGTATGACAAATAGTCTTTCTAAATTTGATTATTGGATATATTACATGCATACAATGGTAATGTACTTTAAATTAGTGGCTTTTAATGTATTTGTATAAGAATAAAATAAATTCATATGTACAAGTGAAAATCAATTATATCAATGTATTAAGATTGCGCAAGAATGATATTAAAATGAAAATATAATTCACCCATGAGCCTTTTTTGCTATTTCTTCATTGGTATAATAGAAGACACCCTAGGATTATAGTGAATTAAGAAAGCTTAAAATGGTCATTTACTCCTATTTGATGTAATCGTGTAACGATAGGCAATAGCTATAATAACAAGTATTTTAGGGGTATACCTGTTTGATAAAAGAATAAATATCTGGTTTGCTGGAATTTCAAGAGTTGCTTGAAGTAGCAATTTTTCGACTTCAATCATGGTTGATTCACCCCAATTTACCTGCAATTAACACTTAAATCGTTTCACAACATAAGAGACAATTCGATTCAAGCTAAGTAATTATCTGTTTAATCGTATTTAAATCCAATTAAATGATACAGAAATGAAGAATATGATAATGATGTAATGCTACAAAATTGTTTTTAGCACTGACCTTGAAGAAGCTTTGCCATATGAAATCAAGAATCGGATTGTGATGGATTAGAAACAAGTAATCAATACTAGGGTTCCATAATAATTAACCTTCATCTAACACCCATCACAACCGCAAAAACCATCGCCACCTATTCAAAACCGCCGCCAATGATCGCATCGGTCGCACCCTACCAGAAAACAAGCCATCATGAACCAGAATTATGAACGAGCATAGGGTTTTCTCAGTTGCACTTTCTTACTCTTTCACTCGTGCCGATTCAAGATGAATCGAGAGGGAAACAAAAATATGCTCTGATCTTTTACTAGCCATCAATTGAAAAACGATGGTGTGATTTTGTCCTTGCGGGTGCATACCTGCATATTGCTAAGAAGAGAAGAAACAAAGGGCTTTTTCTAATTGCACATTTTGGGGAGAAGAACACAAGTACAAAAAGCTAAAGATAAACAAGACCGACTCACTTTTTTTATTCATTTTCGTTCATTTTTTTATTCATTTTGATTTTAACATTAAAAATATTTTTATTTATTTGTTACAATTAATCAGAATAGACATTTTTGTCTGAGCTCTTGATAATAAGGTCTTCAAAATCCGTCCTCTTTATTTGCTTTTGAGATTAATTTGAGTATATTTATGATGTTATATCATAATAATATTGTTACTATCATGTTGTTTCAAAAAATCTGTATATTAAGTAAAAAATTATGTATATTAAGTAATTATATGAAGTTTGTATATAACTTTTTTTACAAACATTAAATATCATAATGTTTAATGCAAATTCATTAGTGTTATATGTAATACAAAGAAAATTTTGCAACCGTGCAGGACTTGGGAAAAAGATACGGTACGATACTACAAAAAAACTTGTTTTTTTCGTTGATTGTGTTCACGTAGAGAAATCATTGACTTTACCCTTTCTTTTTTTTGTGTTTACAGAAGGATATGAAAACTATTCACATTGAAGATACACTACAGTGGTATCTTCACCAAAGCATGTGGAAGGAAATACATTGATGTTAATGTAGCATATGTAGATGATGTTGACACTGATTTATTTTCAGTTCATGAGCTTGATGACATGGTTCGAGAATTAGGGTACAAAACTGAGCAAACCCTTTATTATCATTTCTATATCCCAGAATACCCTTTAGACTACGGCTTAATGCCTTTAGGTAATGACCAAGATGAAAGTTCTAGTATGCCAAAGAGTCATATTAAAGTGATATTGCTAAATAACATATGATACTAATGGGGCACACTAATAACAATTTGATACAATTGACTATTTGTTAGAAATTGATTTTAATAAATATTCAATAAAACTCTTATAATTGGAAATTACTTATTTCATGAAAATAATAATTTTCATTAGCAAGTAACATTACATAATTCATATGGTATGAATTAATAAGTTGTGTACAATGTCACACCCCCAAACCAGAATGGCGGAAACATTCGGGGGCGGATGACTTCATGTAGTATCATAAGAGTTGAATATCTGTAAAGAAAGTAAACACAATCATCATAAATATAATTTAAAAGTTACATTGTTGAATGTGATACATGTCTCAAAATAAATTACAATATGATGATTTAATAAGTTTAGAAATTGACGCCTTAGGGTCCCTTCTCCAAAAGTTGATGTTTTACTTGTATTACTGAATCCCTGAGAAATACAAGTAGTTTTGAAAAAGTGTCAACAATTAAGTTGGTGAGTTCATAAGCGTTTTTGTATAAGAATAGTATGCCTTTTTGTATAAGAAAATTTGAGTTTGTTTCTAGAAAATCCAATATTTTCCATAAGAGAGTGGTGGTTTTAAAAGATCCAAAAACTGGAATGCATAAGTATTTTCCATACCTAAAATAGTATAAGTAGATTTATATATGTATATATAATCACTAAGGCGTTTAACAGCCCCGTAAACCAAGATGTATTAATACTCCATGTGAGTTTTTATAACCATGCTATTGACCCAGACTGCCTGTAACAACGTTCTTTAGGCGTTAGAATGATATGACTTTTGTCACCCCAGACCTTCCGGTCTAACTGTAGCTAACATTTTAGGTGAGGGATTGTCAGTCTCATATAGATCTATACACAAATATCACGCTCTCCCTACAAGAGATTATGGCTTATAAAAAAGGACTTAATCTGCGAACTGAAAGGTTCGATGAAGTCAGATATCTCACAAAATTTAGTATCAACAGGCTTACGTATGAAAAGTCCATTTTTCTTGTGAATATAAGTATTTCCTCTTTTTAGTATTTATTATATGTAAAAACATCATGAATATCTCGTGAACTATACCTA